GAGATAGTGCATCCCCAATCATTACCTTTGTCCGATGAAGGGGCTGATCCTGTCACTATGATCACCCACTCAGATGAATTCTCGGATTGTCCCAACATACCCAGGTTTTGACCCCCGCTAAGGATCTCACTGATTGGTATATCAAAAATAGCCCAATCCGACACCTAGTGCAGTATCATAATCGAGTCTAGGGGTCAGGTGTAACTTTCCAGATTTGCCCATCAATCTCCAAGGTCCAGGGCAATACTGGAAATCTGGTCCGGTTCAAAGATTCAATTAATCTTACACTGCATGTGCCTTGGGTCTCACCCTGGCGGCTGAGGCAGGCCACCCCAACATTTGGCAGCACACCAGTGTCAGCCTTGGTATGATAAATCTCCACAGAATTATCCAACGGCTGTGAACATTCTAAACTAACACGAGTCTCATAAGTGTCCAGTTTAAGGGTATTACACAGAAACACACCATAAGAACATGAATCAAATATGTACTTTATTCATTTATAATAAATTCATAATGTACATCATTTTGATTGGAGCTAAGGGCATACAACTGTCTAACACTTTCCTCATGGCCACATACATGCAGATAGCTAGGGGTGTAAATCGGGCCCTGCTGGGCCGGCATGGCACGACCTGCGTGTGGCCCATGCAAAGTGCAGGCTGTGTCGTGCCAGCCCGTAGGCCGATCCATGTCATGTTTCCCTTACCTAGGATATTTCGAGGGGACAGCCTGGCATGGCCCATGGCCTGAGCCCATGCAGGCCTGGGCCGAGTGGGGTACGAGTCGTGTTGTGGGCATGGCCCATGTTAGGCTAGGCTATGAGCTGAGCCTTGGGCCTGGGCCGAACTGGGTCATATTGTTTTTTTTTTTTGTTTATTTTCACATCTTGATTTTTTTTATTCTTTTGCTAAATAAACAATAAAACTAAAATATTTCACTTTGCTTAATTCTTTTGAGCTTTGGGAACAAATTGGAAAAATAAAAAAATCCAACAACGAAATGAAAAAAATATTTAAATGCGTAAAAAATACAAAATGAACAACAAATTGAAAAAAAAAAAGGAATTTATTTCTTGAATTTGAACGATACAATGGTCAATGGATGAATGAAATATAGAAAATGGAATAAAACATAAAATATATAATATAATTATAAATTGAAAATAAAAACTTACATTGTTGAAAAAATAACAACTAATTTAAATAAAATTGAAAAAAAATTATAATAGATTTAAAAATTAAAAAAATACAATAATTGAATTATTGAGTATACAAAAAAATAAAAAATATTGACTTCATTTTTCTTCAAGTTTCACCTCCACCAGCATCTTTATCATCTGCTTCAGGTGAAACATCAGGTGTAATGTCATGCTCTCCTTTGTCTTGTAATCTATCCTCAGCATCCAACCAATTTTTAAAGTAGATGCACATCTCCAGACATCATTTAGGCAGCTCCTCTTGTTGTCCAGTACCCTAGTACATGTATTAAAACAAGACTCTAATGGAATTGTAGACATCAGAGGGGTTAGTAAATCACGTGCCATTGCGTCGAGACTGGATAGTTTTTTTCATATCTTCTCCACTAGACTAAAATGTCAAAACTAACCCATTCCTCTAAGTCGCATGAATCAGCTAAAGTATAAAAAATTGCTTGTAAATAAAAGTTAAGTTCAATATATGAACTTGTTGATGAAAAGGTAGTAGATTTCTACCTCTTATTTATTAAAGACTGAATTTTGTTTTTTCCACTATTGGAACTAGCTGTTTCAGAAGTGGAATTTGCACATGTACAATATTTCCTATGCCATACCACTTGAGATTCATATAAACTATACATTTCAAACAATAAACTATTAATTTCTTCTTTTTTATTTCTAATTTCAATATTCATATTTTCACAATATGATTCAATTAAAACTTCTAAACCAAACTTCCTAATCCTAGGATGTAGTATTGTATCTAAGCATAAAGGGGATAAATTTTCTCCCAATATTTTTTAAATTTATTTTCTATTATTTTAATAATTCTTTCAAATTATGGATTTTTCCTATATTTTGCAAAATGTTCATTAATTATAAATAATTGATTAACTAAAATACAACTAGTTGAGTAATTAACACCCGAAAATTCATTAGTTGCATTATAAAAAATTTGTAAAAAATCTTTTATACAAATTGTCATTTCCCAATCTTCCTCAAGTATCATATCATGTTGCACTTTTGCATTATAAAAATCAGTAAGAATTTGTTTATAAGCAATACAATTTTCTAAGATAGAATAGGTAAAATTCCATCTATGTTGAGCATCTAATACAAAATGTTTATATTTTAAACCATAATTATGACATAAATATTTCAATTCTTGTTTTCTTGCTCCAGAATTTTTAATATATATTATACAATTTTTAACTTTAGAAATATGATGAGAAATAATATTTAAAGCATCTCGAATACATAAATTTAAGATGTGACATGCACATCTAATATGTAATAATTAACCATCGAAAAATGGTTTTAATTGAGATTCTAAAATATTTACTGTTGAATCATTATTACTAGCATTATCAAAAGTTCAAAACTAATAAAAAAAATTATTTTCAATTCCATAAATATGTAAAGTATTTAAAATACATGCAACAATAATTGGACCAGTATGTGGCCATTCAAGCCTAGTAAAACTTAAAATTCTTTTATGTAAAAACCATTTTTCATCAATAAAATGGATGGTAACACAAATATCTTATATTAAGTCTAGATGTCCGAAAATTAGAAATAATTGTAATTTTGGAATTAAAATTTGATAACATAGAAATTAAATTTTATTTATATGAATAAAAAATTTTTAAAGCATCTGTTCCAATAGTATTTGTAAAAACTTTTTTTAAATTGTGGATTTACAGATCTACGTAAAAATTTTTCAAGTTTAGTATCTGCAGCTAATAAAAATGGATATTTGGCATGCATAATATGTTTTGCTAACTCTTACTTCATTTTTTCTTAGGAATATTTAAAAGTACAAAAAATGTTATCTCCTATTTGTGCTTGTGATGTTTCTTTCTCTTTTTCTTTTTTCATCATATGGTGTCTCAATGGTCTGCCCAAGTGGTCAGTACCACCACTACTACTGTAGCTCAAGTAACTCTTACATTTTTAAAAACTGGCTCTCTTTCCCTTCCCCTTAATGTCCTCTATTTTAAATATTGTCTAAATCGGGCTAATCAACCTAGTGTTCTCCTATTCTTTCCCCTACCTATAGTAGTAGTACTAGGGTGGAAACGTTGGCGATATCAATAGCATCCATATCGGTGCTAACACTATCATATTGCGATTGAACACCAACATCGTCGACATTAACCATGTTGGGGAATTGGTGTCAAGAGCAAGAGGGGGAGCCGTCCATTTTTTTTAATTATAAAATTAATTTAATTGAACTTACTCGGGTTGCTGTTTTGGAATCTAAATTTAATTTCAACGGTTGAAGCCTCCAAGTCTCCCAAATTACTAACTTGAGATACCTGAGTAAGCGTTCTTGTTGAAACTTGAATTAAGTTGAGAATTCGAGAGTGGAGAGAGTATGAGAGTATGATTATGTATGATGTATGAGAGATTGAGAGAATATAAGAGAGTATGAGAATTGGTGTGATGAGAATGGTGGAGGATAAGGCTATTTATAGGAATTGAAAATAATTTAATTCCTCAAATACCTTAAAAACTATCCATTTTTTAAATACCCACTTAAACTAGTTATTATATAGTTGTTGGGGGGTATTATTGTTATTTTATCTCCCCCAAAGCCAAAATACATAAATACCCTCCATATATCTATTTATAGCTATTGGGGGGTATTTCTGTAAAAAAAACCCCAAAAAGTTAAAACTAACCGTCAAGGGGGGTCTCCAACGACTAATTCTTTGGACCGCACTCGGCTTGTTGTGGGCCTACGGGCTGGGCCATACTAGACCACGAGCCACAGGCAGCACGACACAACAATGTGAATTGTACTACCCCAGCCCGTGGACCTAAAACCCCAAACCCAACAAGGCCTATACAATCTTGTTGGGTCGTGACAAGACCCATAACCATCGGATTGGGCCGTGCAGGGCCACGAGCAGATTTACACATTATTTACCTTTATTGGTGGAGCGGGTCAAAGACCCATTCATGACTTCCAAACACCTACTCGTTAAATATCAAAGGATTTAGGATTGACATCCGCAATTGAACCCGTCAATCTTCCCGATTCTAGATTATTGGTCCATCCAGCCGATAAACTATTAGTCGGTTGGTCCCACATACCAACCCTGACCAACGAAAATGTCCTATTCATGCCATGGACACCTTCACATTTGATTATAATATCATCATAGCTGCACATATGGGATATCCCTATGGTATTACAGCCCATGTCATGGGCCCCATGAAGGACTTTTCTTACCATGAAGAAGATTTGAATTCTCCTCACAGAATTAGTGCGCACACCCACCTCTCTAGGGTCTTCCCCTGTGTTTGAATGTTGGATACTGATGAAAATCTATACTAATAAATCTATATTGATTCACCATGAATAAGGTAAGCCATTTCTAAGTAATCCCAATTTATTTCTAATGAGACATGACTAGCGACCAGTCAGACTCAGAGATATCCTTGGAATGACAATGGGATATCGGTATCTTCTTGTCAACTTAAACATATATAAATAATAAAACCAGATAGGAAATACTGTATATAATATGTAAGGCATCTTCTCTTTAGCCTGTTAAGGTAGCAGAGAGAAGAAGATGGGTTTTCAGAAAGAAGAGCTGGATGTTATCCTGGTCCCAAGCGGATTACTGATCATGTTTAGTTACCATCTCTACCTCCTTTACAGAATTATAAGACGTCCTGAGACCACTGTGATCGGCTACGAGAACCACAACCGAATGGCCTGGGTTGAGAGAATGATGAAGGTAAGAATTCTTCTCTCTTCTTTGGTTTGATTGCTTAATTTAGCTCAATGGCTTGTTAGACTCAGCTATTTGATTATTGGGTATTCGCCGCAGGTTGAATCAAGCAACCTTGCGCTAGCTCTGACAGTGATCTCAAGCAATACATCCGCAGCCACCTTCCTTTGTACCGTGTCCATCAGTCTGAGCTCCCTCATTGGAGCCTGGGTTGGGAGCTCTTCAGATAATAACGTCTTCCTGAACGACCTGATCTATGGAGACACAAGCCAATCTACAGTCTCCATCAAGTACATCAGTCTGCTTTCATTCTTCCTCGTTGCCTTTGCATCGTTTGTGCAGTCGGCGAGGTACTTCGTCCATGCTAACTTCCTGATAAGCACGCCATACACCGATATGCCGGTGAAGTATGTGCAGATGGCAGTAATAAGGGGGAGCAATTACTGGGCGCTCGGGCTTCGGGCGCTCTACTTCGCCATTACTTTGTTGCTGTGGATTTTTGGTCCGATCCCAATGTTTGCTTCGTCGGTGGTTTTGGTGATCCTCTTGCATATTGTTGACAGCAATTCTCACCCACTGCATCAGTATAAGCAGCTTCATGGTCATGGCCACCGCCTGTTGGAGAAGATAGGTGAGGAACTGAACGCTGTAGTTAGGGCCGTCGAGCATCGTGTTGAGTTAGATGGAACAGAAAGCACAATCACATAGTCATGAGATGATTAAAGATGTTTGTAGTGAAATTAATACCGGAATATTTTATGTGAAGTTGTATAGGGAAAAGAGTAAAGTTGGGAACATAACAGATTTCCCTTATTCACGGAGATCTGTTTCCAATAGAAATGATGATTAGCAGGCACCCAGAACAGAATCCCACAATCTGTTCCCTCCATTTCCAGTGATTTCAAATGGGTTTCCTGTTTTTGGTAAACCAGTTTGCCACCTAATGTGCCAATACTACCTCTGCCCACATCTCAACTGAGAACATTTCCCTGTGCATATGAGGATGAAATGTTATTCATGTGTGACAGCAATATTACGTGGGTAGAACTGGGCAGAGTTTATTGTGGGCAGCAGACTCGCCAATAAGAGTCTGACTCGGATACAAGACCTGAGAAGACGGCGAGCTTTATCAGAATAAATGCAGTAGACCCGGATTCCAGAATGGGAGCTCGGCTGGATACAGCCATACAGGTGTTCGAACGACTGCGGTGGTCTAATAATTGGGCTTATGGCCCATGCATTGCACTGTCTCATGTTGACTTATAGGAAAGATGTGGCCCAATAAAACTGGGCCCGTAGCTACGGATTCCCAGAATCATCCAAGAATTAGGAGGCAAATTTAAAACACTGTTCAAGCCTCTTCAAAACTGGAGGGTCGACTTCCTTAATCTTTCCTCACTTGCTGTCCTCTCCAAGCTYGACTCGCTTTCAAAAGTGTGACATTCAATGAAGACAGAGAATTCGGATAGTTCGACTAATGGTTGGTTGGCCGACGAATGTGTGAAGCCGGTCAAAATTCAAGGGGTGCTAGCCGCAGCCGGGTGGGCTGGGCAGAGTTTAAGGCCAACTTAAACCCAACCATAATATGAGAGAGAGAAAGAGAGAAGAGAGAGAACGTTCATTGACAACCTGCTAATAACTTAGAATCATGAAAGTATGACTCAGACCTAAAATTTTGCCACTTTTTGTTTCCTATTTTCTTCTTTCGTTTTTTTCTTTTTTGAGAATGATGACTTGAACAACTGAACACATCAGACATCATGAGTTGAGCCAACTAGGACCTATTCAAGTTACCACATTGCTAAGTATCAAACTTGGCGCATTCCTCAATACATGGCATATTTCTTGGCCAAGAAATTCATCTCCCACGTATTTGACCATACAACCATTAGTGTCCAACTTTCTATTCTCTGCACATTGCTATGAAACCTTAATTACACAAAATTTGAGTCTATTTGGTTTGAAATTGAAATCCTTATAAATCAGGATGGTCTATTTTTATAATGGGAATTAGAATCAGTTGAAATGAGATTTCATAAGAATAACCTTTCTTTTAAATGGGGAATGCCATTTTATTAAGAATGAAAATGGAATTTTAATTCTGTCCAATCAAACAGTTGGAATCGGAACGGCTATTTTAATTCTGATTCCGATTTCAATTAGATTCCAGACTCTTATTCCTGCGATTTAAATCAAACAGATCGATAGATGAATTAATGGTATCTGAATTCCCATTCACATCTAAAGTCAAATCCAAATTACACATCAAAGGAAATCCTATATTTGCGAAGGCACTATTCCCAGTTTCCCACAAATGAGTCCGAGACAAAAATATAAACACCTACAAATGGCAACGAGTATGAATTTAGTGATAATCAAAAGTCTTTGTCAGTTTTCAAACCCGATCACTTCCCACCATTTGTGTCATATCTGGGCCAGAACCCAACTCCCCAACCACACCCTGATTCAGATCATCCAATGTGGGGTCCGTCCAACGTGGCCCTGATCTCCTCTTTATATATATACTTCGAATGTTGATTGCATACAGTAATCGGATGAGAAGAGAGGCATGCGGAAAATCGGTGATAGAGCCACGTGGTTTCTTTACCTTCATTTCTTTTCTAAATGACGTCTTTTACAACTTTTAATTAATTCTTAGAGTTAGGGTTTCTTCGTTTGTTTTGAAGTCTGACATCTAAAAGTGTAATAATTACATTAAGAGGTATATTGATATTAGTGAATTTTTCTTTCCTCTGAACTCTGAATATAAAAATGCTGCTCTGAACTCTAAATTTTGAATTCTGAAAATTTTTAAATATTCATTTTTACCCCATATATAAGAGTTTTTGTTTGTCTTTTTGCGGGTATCATTGGAAAATAAAAAATTGTATGATTGCACTTTAAGAGATAAGAGATAAGAGGAAACGAACAACCAATTTTCTTTTAAAGTTAAAAGAATCCTATTAAGATATAAGAGTTAAGAGGAAATGTACAGGCCTTTAATCCACTTTCTCTTGCTCTTCAGTCATATGTTTTCTTATAGCAAAAGTGATACAAGAAAGCTGCTATTGGGCCCTCATTATAAAATTTACTGTTAGTTAATTAATTTTATTTACTATTTAATTAATTAATAAATTAATAATTAAAATTTACTGTTAATTAACTAAAAGTATTCAAATTTATTGTTAATATTTAAAATTTTAATAATTGTAATTTTCATTTAATGTTGACTTACATAAAATAATTATTGTTAATTTAATATGAATAAATTTAATTTTATTAATCATTTGTAATAATTTTAATAACTATTATTATTTTCATTATTTTTAAACAAAAATTTTTGATTGACTTTAAATAAATAAAAATAATTACAAAAGCTAACACTTTTATCAATTTTACTAGTAATTAACAATTATATAGGAATGGCAACGGGATTGGACACTCCATTCCTGTCATTTCCCCGTCCCCAATGTCAGGCAGGTTTAGGGCAAGGCTCTCACTTCCCGTTAGGAACGGGGAATCCTCAAATTTCTTCACTTCGTCCTCAATGTTAGGCGAGTTTAGGGCAAGGTACCCACTCCTCATCAGCAATGGGGATTTCTCGAATTTTCTATGCCCCGTCCCCAGTGTTGGGTGGGTTCAAGTCAAGTCACCCACTCCCTGTCAACCCAATATTCAATTTGATGACAAAAATGATCAAAAAGATATACTTAGTATCAGCTACATTGTAAATTTCTAAAAGTACACTAAATTGTCTTTAATTTTCAAAAATGTAATTTTATAAAAATTTTGAAAAATTTATTACATATGTGTAATTTTGAAAATTTATTTTTAAATTGTTATTAAATAATTTATTTTTTAAATGGTTTATTTACAAAATTACACTAATTTATCTTATATTTTCTAATATTAACTAATCAATAATTTTCTTTTTCCAATATTATACTAATTTATCTTAACAGTTTGTGTAATTATTGGTTCAAATTACAATTTTTCATTTCCTATACTCATTTATCTTTAATAATTTTCAATAATATACAATGAAAATTACATAATTTTTCAATAGTTTTCCAAATCTGTCATATGTAATGAATTTTCCTAAAATTTCCAAAACATTCCAATAATTATTTAATACATTTTAAATAAACTTTCAAAATTTTATCAAAAGTACAATACTATATCTTTTAATTTCCAAAATGTTATTTTACGAAAATGTAGTTTTATGAAATTTTTTGAAAAAAAAAATTACATTTATGTGATTATGGAGATTTATTGAAAATATTTTAAATATTTATTTTTATTAAGTAGTTTACTAACAAAATTACAATAATTTATCTTTTATTTTCCAATATAAACTAATTAATAATTTCATATTCCAACATTATAATATTTTTTTTCTCCCATCTGCATTCGGTTATTAACTATAATAATAGAAATAACTAAAATTTTATACTTTTTGTGAATTGTTAAATATAATTCTCAATTTTATAGAAATTAGTTAAAGAGTTTTCGATTTCTATAAAATGTTTTTAATTAAGATGAATATAATAGTATTTACACAAAATATTTAAAAAATCATATGAGTTAATTAATAACAGTATTTATTAATTATTGATAATTTACTAACCGTACTAATAAGAATATTTAATTTTTGGTAATTTAATAACCACATTTATTAACTTTTAGTAATAGCACTATTTAATAGTCATTGAATATGGGTTGGATTAAATATTAATAGTATTTAACTATTTATTAATTAAATATGAATAGTCATCAGGAATCGGCTAGGTGACTTGTTTTGTTTTATCCCATAATCATTATTTCGCCAAAAACCGTTGATTTGGTCAGTAAACTGCTAACCCGGGCGGTCGAATTGTTCGAACCGTCCAACGGTTCTGGCCGTTTTCTTTTCTAATGTTTTTTTTTTTTACTTTTTTGTCAAAACGGGCCATTCGTTTGGTTTGAATGATCGGACTATTTGACCCGAGAACCAGACCCTGACTGATTCATTGTCAAATTCGGTTTTGAAACCCTTGCTCTGAAATTGTGTTTGGTGAAAATCTAGAAAGTCATATGGGTATTCTAAATGTCAAAATGGTGACTATAACATGAAGCTGAGTGCAATTAACAACTGCTAATAACTTAGAATCATGGAAGTACGACTCAGACCTAAAATTTTGCCACTTTTTGTTTCCTATTTTCTTCTTTCGTTTTTTTCTTTTTTGAGAATGATGACTTGAACAACTGAACACATCAGACATCATGAGTTGAGCCAACTAGGACCTATTCAAGTTACCACATTGCCAAGTGTCAAACTTGGCGCATTCCTCAATACATGGCATATTTCTTGGCCAATAAATTCATCTCCCACGTATTTGACCATACAACAACCAGGTGTCCAACTTTCTATTCTGTAGCATACCATTATGAAACCTTAATTACACAATATTTGAGTCTGTTTGGTTTGCAGTTGAGGTTATAATTGAAATCCTTTGGAATCAGAATGGTTTAAATAACATACATTTTTATTCCTTATCTAAACAACATACAACAGACACAAAAAAGAGCATATATGTCCTTTACTCTAACTCCAAAAATTGTCCACTTATTACCGTTTAAAAACTGTCAAACTTATAATGATTAAAAAACTGTCCATTTATAACTGTTCAAAAAACTGTTCATGAATTGTAAATAATTTTATCTTAGAATTACTTACACAAATGGAATTTTAATTCTACCCAATCAAACAGTTAAAATCCAAACGCCTATTTTAATTCTGATTCCGATATCAATTAGGATTCCAGACCCCAATTCCTGCGATTTAAACCAAACAGATGGATTGATAAATGGTATCTGAATTCCCATTCACATCTAAAGTCAAATCCAAATCACACATCAAAGGAAAGCCCATATTTGCGAAGGAATGCACTATTCCCAGAACTGAGTCCGAGACAAAACCCGATCACTTCCCATCATTTGTGTCATATCCGGGCCAGAACCCAATTCCCCAACCACACCCTGATTCAGATCATCCAATGTGGAGTCCATCCAACGTGGCCCTGATCTCCTCTGTACATGGACACACGGAATGTTACATCCATACTTTGAATGCGAGCTTATTGCAAACAGTAATTAGATGATTAATGCAGCATATGTAAGCCAAACACCAGCATAAATGACGTCTTTTACAAGTTTTAATTATTTCCTAGAATTAATCCACTTTCTCTTGCTCTTTCGTCTTATATTTTCTTTCAGCAAAAGTGATACAAGAAAGCTGCTATTGGGCCCTCATTACAAAATAACGATAAGCTATCGGGTGATGTAAGGGATTCTTGCGATAGGAACTTAAATAATAAAAATATATAAAAGTATATATCGTTTTATATTTTAAATTTTAATAATTAATTTGATGGAATTCAATCTGAGTTAATCGATTTTTAAGTACTTTTTGTTCTTTAGTTCAATAACTTTTCAATCCAATTAAGTTAGGTTAGTTTCAGTCTGGCCATTTGTAAATCGGCCTAAACCAAACTGACCCAATCATAGATATATATTAATATATTTTATTTTAAATATGATCTTCTTAATACGGGAAAGTGGAAAAGTTTCCATATTTCATAGTCTAAATATTTTATATAATAAATTTAATTCATTTTAATTTATTTTTTAATAATACCACTGTAATTTATTAAATTTAAATTCAATATTTAAGCTTAAATCTTTTGAACAAATAAACCAAATCAAAAATAGACCAATACCGATACAAACCGAGTTTGCGGGTTTTCACTTATGGTCAATTAGTTTTAGGTGGCAAACTCCCGACCTGACCAAGTCGATTTGGTAGGCAAAACAACCTGCAACCGAACTAAACCAATGCATGAACACTCCTAATTTTAACTAAATTAATAGTTTAATCTCCAATAATTATTGGAGATTAAACAACTATTATTTAACTTTTGAAATTTAATTTATCGTATTTATTGTATTTTTGTTATAAATTTATTTTTAGTAATTATGTACTTTTATAATTTATTGATTAATATTTATTAGAGAGTAAACTATTATTTGATATTACATTATTTATTGATTAATTTAATATATTTTCAATATTTATTGTATTTTTCTAATCATTTTATTTTTATTAGATATCTATTGTATTTTCATTATAAATTTATTTTCAATAATTATGTATTTTTCTATAATTTTTTAATAATTATTGGAGATTAAACTATTATTATTTATTAAAGATTAGACTATTAATTTAGTTAAAATTAGGAGTGTTCAAGGATTGGTTCAGTCCGGTTGCACGTTGTTTTGCCAACCCGAGTTAAACCTGCCAACTCGGGTTGTATCAATTTGGGTCTATTTTTGGTTTGGTTTGTTTGTTCAAATGATTTAAACTCAAAAATTAAATTTAAATTTAATAAATTACAGTGTTATTATTAAAAAATAAATTTATTATATAAAATATTTTATACTAAGAAATATGAGAATTTTCCCATTTTAATTTCTTGTATTAAAAAAATTATATATATATATATATATATCAATTTTGGTCGGATTATAAACCGCCAAATCGAAAGTGACCTAACTTGGTCAAATTGGAAAAATGCTAAACCAAAGGCGGCTGGAAATACTAGAAAACTGACCAACTCGAGTACCTATATTAAGTAGTTTACTAGCAAAATTATACTAATTTATATTTTATTTTCCAATATAAATTAATTAATAATTTCATTTTCCAACATTATAATATTTTATTCTCCCATCTGCATTCGGTTATTAACTTCAATAATAGCAATAACTAAAATTTTATACTTTTTAATAATTGTTAAATATGATTCTCAATTTTATAGGAATTAGTTAAAGAGTCCTCAATTTCTATAAAATGTTGTTAATTAACATGAATATATATAGCAGTATTTACCTAAAATATTTTTAAAAAGTCATGATGAGTTAATTAATAACAGTATTTATTAATTTTTGATAATTTACTAATCGTACTAATAAGAATATTTAATTTTTGATAATTTACTAACTGCATTTATTAACTTTTGGTAATAACACTAACTGCATTTATTAATTAGAATGAATCTTTTAAATGAGAGAGTGGATAAGATTGGGGGAAGAGATTTTAGGGATTGATTGGGAAGTGGAGTAACGTTTCTAATGACTTAGAGGAGATATCTTAGGAGAGATTATAGGAATATTTTTAGGTACATATACATACATATATATATATATTATTTAAATATAACTTTTTAATAAGAAAAGTGGGGAAATTCTCATATTTCTTAGTTTAAAATATTTTATATTATAAATATAATTTTCTAATTTTATTTTTTTAATAATACCACTATAATTTTTTAAGCCTAAATTTAAATTTTGAATTGAATTTTTTTAAGTTTAAATCTTTTGAACCAAGCGGCTAAACCGATACAACCCGAGGTGCCGGTTTTCATTAATAATTAGTCGGTTTTGGGTGACCAACTCCCCAACCTGACTAGGTTGGTTTGGTTGGGCAAACAACCTACAATCGAACTGAATCAACCCGTGAACACTACTAATTTCAACTAAATTAATAGTCTAATTTCTAAAAATAGCAATAGTTTAATCTTCAATAATTATTGAAATTTTATAGCAAACATACACAATTATCGAAAATAAATTTATAACAAAAATACAATAAATAACTAATAAAAGTACAATAAGTATTGAAAATATATTAAATTAGTCAATAAATAGTGTAATCTTAAATAATAGTTTAATCTCAAATAATAGTTTAATCTCTAATAAATATTAATCAATAAATTATAACAAAAATAAATAATTACTAAAAATAAATTTATAACAAAATTATAATAAATACAACAAATTAAGCTTAAAAAGTTAAATAATAGTAGTTTAATCTCCAATAATTATTGAAAAGTTTCTATTGAATAAAAAAAGTAGATTTATACATAATTATTGACAATATATTTATTAAAAAGATATAATAGATAATTACTGAAAATTATTATCAATAAATACTTATTTTGAAAGTTATTTTTATAATTATAATTGATATAAGTGGAATTAGTTATTAACAATATTATTTAGTTATTTAAATAATATTATTATTTAAAAATTCTAAATATAATTATTTATTGAATTTACTAATCCATAAAGTTATAATTTATATTGCTTGTACATAATTTCGTGATGAATTGTGTAAAAAAAAATATTAATAATATGAATATTATTAAATCTATTATAATTATTTTTTGTATTTTTAGTAAATATTTTAAAGTTAGTATATAATTTCATTATAATATGTAGAAAATTCTTAAATTTTTTAATGCAAACATTCTTTAGATAGATATTCTATTCCAATATAAAATATTAAAATGAGAAAATCACTCCTATGGGTTGTAAGAATGGCATTTAAAAATTGAAAATAGACAATAGTTGACTATTCTCTTGATCACATGCATAATAAAGGGCTGACCTTTCTTGATGGAACAGTAGCTAGCCCAACGATTTCAAACATGGCTAGAAACCAGCAAGGGGTTGATATTTGTCCACGGCACCCCTTCCAAACAGTTCCTTTTTGGATAGAATTCTATTTTTGTACTTTTAAAATTTAATTATATAAAATATTTTCAAAACAAAGTATCAATTTCTGTTTGACAAAAATACATCTATTTGTAAGGTTTCCGGTGGTTTCATAGTTTGAGATTGACGATGGTGGTCCAACTCTAGCAACAATGAGTAGAGGTAGAGTTAAGAGTTATATGGAAATCACCCATTTAGACAAAAATGTTGAATTTTTTCAAAATATGAAAGCAAAAAGTATAATTTATATAATACAAATTTTATATGGCATTTATAATATTTTTATACTTTAAAAAATATATATATAAAATGAAATTACTTTATAAAAGTCTACCCAAACAGGGCCCTAAATAGTTATTTTCTTGCTTCGAATGAATGAAAGTACTTTTTCCCAAAAAAACAGGAAAGAGAGAAAAAAAAAATTAACCCAGTTCACTGTATAGCTTGTATTTCCACCGCAAGCCGTCTCTATCTGCTATTCTTCTCATCTCCAACCAAGCTCAAGAGAGACGAAAATAAAGGTCAAAACTTCTTTAAAATATCAAAAGCCAGCCATGCCTGTCATGATTTATGAAATATAAAATCCAACTTAGGATGCAAATAAACAAACCATCATTTTAGTTAGATAAACACAGAGAGAGAAAAGAGGGAGAGAGAGAGAGAGGGAGAGAGAGAATGGGGTTTCAGAAGGAAAACTTAGATGTAATCTTGGTCCCGAGCGGTTTGCTGATCATGCTTGCTTACCATCTCTACCTCCTCTACAGAGTAATAAAACAGCCTGAGACCACGGTTATTGGCTACGAGAACCACAACAGGATGGCTTGGGTTGAGAGAATGATGCAGGTAATTTGTTTTTCTTTTCTTTCTCCTTGATTGATTTTGCTGAGTTAATTTGTCTCGCCAGATTTAGCTAAGTTTTTTCTGATAATTTAGCGGATATTTGCAGTCTGAATCAAGTAACCTGGGCCTAGCTCTCGCGGTGATCTCAAGCAACACGACTGCAGCGACCTTCCTTTGCTCCATGTCCATTACTCTGAGCTCCCTCATAGGAGCTTGGGTGGCAAGCTCTTCACAGAGCATCTTCATGAACGACCTAGTTTATGGAGACACAAGGCAATCCACCATATCCATCAAGTACATCAGCCTTCTCTCCTTCTTCCTCATCGCCTTCGCTGCGTTCGTTCAGTCTGCGAGGTATTTTGTCCATGCCAACTTCCTGATAAGCACGCCATATACCGATATGCCCATAAAGTATGTTCAGATGGCGGTGATAAGGGGGAGCAATTACTGGGCGCTTGGGCTCAGGGCTCTCTACTTCGCCATTAGTTTGTTGCTCTGGGTTTTTGGGCCGATCCCCATGTTTGCTTCCTCTGTGATCATGGTGGTTCTCCTGCATATTGTCGACAGCAACTCCATCCCATTGCATCAGTACAAGAAGCCTCATCTGGGGAATCGCCTGCTGCACAAAGTGGGCGAGGAGGTGACTGCTGTAATTAGGACCGTCGAACACCTTGGAGAGCAAGATGGGAGGAGATAGATTTTTCTCCATCCAAGATCAGAGAAGTTAGGATATGAAATTATAAAGAAAGTAGTGCAATACAGGAATTCAGATTCCCCTGATTCAGGTAGTACTCTTCTCACAAAAACAAACCAATGTTAATTGAAAACACAGATTTTGCAATTTGAACTGTCCTTTTGACTCCTATGTTTTGATGGATGATTTCAAATGGGTTACCTTTCTTTTGGTGAGTTCAGCCAACTTGGACCTATTCAGACTTGCGTGCCAAAGTTGGTATGGATTGGTCCATATACCTTATGGCCCTACAGGCTGAGGCCATTCAACTCACATGGACAGAGTGACCGACCACGTTATTTATTTATTTGGTAGGTTAATGGACCACACTCTGACATTACAGAAAGAAAATTTTGGTTGAAAGGAAGCTACAGATACCTAAAATTCAATGTTGAAAGCTGGGTCAGCCCCCAGGGAAGTAGAGAAGTAATGGACTATCTCAAGTAACCAGTGAGGCAAGAGCAGAGCACTAGACTTGATTTTTTAGGAGAGTTTGAAGTGATTAATGGAGTATTATTTGTAAGTTGTATAGGTCAGTAGGCCACATTGAAATTAAAGGAACGAACGTAAATTGCAAGTAATTTTCATATATTTTAATATTTTTATTTTGAAGGATTTATAGCTTATTATTTGTTTCTTATACACCAAGGCTGTGTTTTATTGCTATGTAAAATAATGAAGGGAAAAAAATGATTCCCCCAGAATTTGATATTCAATTGGAAAATGAACCATATCCATTGTTTTGCCTGTGTTTGGCCTAACACGAAAGACACAACTTAAGGTCGATATGGGTCTAACAGGGTTCTAATTAAGGACCGACCCTGTTTTGGAAATGTCTTAAAAAGAACAAAATGAATGTCATTTTCCTAAAATTATGTACTACTTATTGAAAAAAAAAGTCTATCTTCCATGCTATTTATATGCATAAACTAGCATTTTCTATGGAAGCCATTTGTTTCCTTCATTTTACATGCTGATTTTACAAGAAGATCAACTCCCGAATCTCAGATAGGAGGGTTCAGACTAAAACCTGCCCCGGTTATATTCTTGCTCACGTCACTTCAATTAGTGGGTTTCACCTAGATTTTGATTCCCATCACCCTTATTAATGGATTCCTCATTGTTCTATAGGTCTCTTCTTCTTCAATTTTCAAATTCCCCCTTCATTTGGCACGTAATTGATTGTTGCATTTCAAAACTTCGGATATTAGACTGTCGCATTTTAAAAGTTAAGGGACTAAATTGTCACTCGAGTCAAATTACATGGTACTGATCGGAAATTTTCCCTTAAAAAATAATTTAAAATTAGGGTAAATTAAAAAGACTCCTGTACTATGGTGTCTGTGACAAATATCCCCTATACTTTATTTTGCGACAAAGACCCTCCTGTACTATAACCGTAAGACAAAGACCCCCTTTCGTTAGCCTTCTGTCCAAAAGGATCATTGCAATATTTTTAATTCCCATACTACCCTTGTAATAAAACACTGTTCATCTTCCCCGATCTCATGATACACTAATAATAGCGACGGTAATCCCCTCTATCTCAAATTCCTTCACATTTCTCTCTCTCTCCCCCGATCTCTCTTCTTCCCCTTCCCCTTAACAGCGTCGGGATTGAACCCATTTTCACGAGTTTGGTGCGATTACTCTGAACGAGTGAGAGGTGATACAAAGCTAGCATTGAGTCATGCCGAGCCTGCTCGCTCTCGAACCGAAGCAGGTGCAGAAGCGGCAACAATGCCCCTAACACCCCTATCACCTTTTTGTTGTCATCGTCAAATGCTAGGCTAAAGAGGGCACCAACTAGTGATGTACAGGGGATAAAGTAGTTAGTTAGGTTCATGCATGTAATAGGGTTGTGGTGCCAAAATCTCAGCCTCGACTGTTAATCTATTGTCGACCCATTTGTTAGCTTTGGATTTCAGCTTCAGTATCGCTTCTCTGCTGAAATGGAAGATCCTCTCACTTAGAGGGGCATTGGCAAAGAACATCACCTGGGGACCGCCCTTAGGGAATGAAAGCACCGCAAGAGAACCATTGACAAAATTGTGGCGAAAATCTGGTGGCCTCGTGAGTTTGTTGACACCCCTACATACCTTGGCAAAGGCGTTGAAGAAGTTCCAAAAGGACGTACCGTCAGCTACTGCGTGGTTGACGGTGCACCCGACGAAGATTTCGTCAGCGAGCTCAGTCACTTGGATGGAAGCTATGGGCTTGAAATGACCGTCATAGCTGATGGTGTGGTCAAAGGCAAAGAACTCCTTAACGGAGTCCAGTAGGTGGACAGGAGAGAGAATGTCACGAATGGGGAGGTGAGCAGTGTTGGCATGGAGAAAGTCGATGCCAACATCATTGCAGGCAATGTAAACATAACCGTCATCGTCAATCGTGAGACGGCCAGCGAGGGTAGGAAACTATATCAGTCTTGGAAATGCTGCATTTAAGAAGAGAAAAGAGAATCGATGGGAAGAGGAGGACGAGTGTAGAAAAGGCCCTTCTATATATAATGGCAAGAGAGCATAGGGAGATCAGAGACGAAAAGCTTGAGTAATCAAAGCGAGGATTCCTGTTCTGGGAACACATTGCATTTGGAGATGATCATAAGAGAGGATGAGGAAATCATTTTATTCTTCGCTTGAGTAATCCAAGCGAGCATCCCCTCTGAGGTAGAGGGGATTACCGCAGCTGCTGTTAGTGTAACATGAGATCAATGGAAGGGGGTCTTTGTCTCATGGTCATAATATAGGGGGCCTTTGTCGCAAAACAAAATACAGGGGGTCTTTGTAATTACCCTTAAAACTATATTTGATTTGAAGAAAAGAGTAGGGAAATGAAATTATGATGAATCAAATGGCTGCCCTAGGAAAGAACTCGGCTCGGCTGCAGGATAGCATAACCTATGTACTCGGAATTTTCAAATTTTCAAAAAAAAAAAAAGGCTCTTTCTTGTTGTTTTTTATGGCAAATACCCTCTTCAAGCTCTGCAATAGTGATGTCAAGCCTAGCACAATAGGCCAAAAGGCGGAATTCAAGCAATTACTTAAATATTTATCCCCCCACTATCCAATGAACTGCGTGCATCGATCATTCAGTTCAGGGTCCATTTGGTTCGTGGGAATAGGGGTCTGGAATCGAAATTGGAATGTCCCATTTTAATTCCAACCATTTGGTTGGGTGAAATCAGAATCCGATTCTCATTTTTTATGGAATGACACTCCCCATTTGAGGGAATGGTCATTTCCTCCCTTTCCCTTTGGAATGAGAATCTCATTTCTGCTCTTTCCAATTCTAATTTCAATTTCTGTCTAAACTAGATAGGCTATTGGAATAGGCCAATTCAATTTTAATTCCAAGAGATTTTGGTTCTGATTCTAAGAGCCCATTCGATTTTTGGAATTTAAGAGGGAGGAAAGTTGGTCAATGGGATTTTAGTTCCCATGACCAGGATACCTATATTCCTTTTTTTAGATTTATGTTGGGTTTATGGAAAATTTATTTTCTTTAGGTATCATTTACCTAAGTGATACCCATCTCCCTGGTGGGTAAGTAATTTTTCCACTTCGGAAGGGGGGAGTTGCTAACACTTGGATGGAACAAAATTATCCCTTTTAATCAACGTTTTTTAACTGACATTGACCCGAACGGTCAGACCGTTCGGCCCGGGAACCGTCCAGGTAACCGGTTCCGTTTTACCCAAAACCCAGAATTTGGTCAAAAACCGTTGAAAAAGTTAACAAACCGTTGACTCGAGTGGTCGAACCGTCGACCCGTTCAATAGTTTTTGACCATTTTTTATTTTTTTTATAATTTTTTTGTCAAAACGGACCGTCTATTCGAACCGGACAGTCGGACTGTTGACCTCGAAACCGGTGCCCATAATGGTTCCATTTCCAAGTCGTTTTTTAAAATATTGCTTTTAATAATGGATTTTTATGGTTAAAATGGTCATTGTCTTATTTACTTAAAAAATAAAAGAACATAGATAAATACACTTACCTGAAAAAGTGTTTTTTAGGAAATGTTTACACGGATAAAAACATTTCCCCATATAACTGACTTCCCAAAAAGTGAACGGGGCTAATTCCTAATGCAAACCAAATATGTTATGTGCCAACAAATAGGAATGATATGTTAGGCATGTTAGGTAGAAGAACAAAATTTCAAAGGTGAAATTTCAGTTACTTGTATGAAACCTGTAATTCCAAAGGATAGGAACTATAATAAATAACAATAACGAGTCATTTATCCATCTTCAAAAAATGCTTAGGATCTATAAGGTACTACAATTTGTAAACGGTTCAATCCTCTAAACAGTATCATCTAATTCACCAAGGGTACCACCAAGTATCAATACATCTCAGTATGAATTAAAAACAAACCCACTATATTGTTCGAATCTACTCCTTACAAGTGTGTCTCACATCAACCTCACAGTACATTCCAGTCGTGCATTGAAAACATCTCTCCATAAATGACAATATATAAGTACAGGAGATATTCCTGGTATGGGTTGCAGGTTCTTTGAGGTTGGTGTAAGGAGTAATCTTTGAGGAGCAAATCCGGTCTCCCCGTAGGGAGTAGGAAATTGTCTATTATACATTGTTTCATCAGAATTTTTCAAATTCATAAAATTGATTTTAGGAATGATTCACCATTTATGGCCCTTTCTTGCTAAGAATAGGCAAGAATGGCAAGTTTTGTTGTTTGCATTGAACAACCTAGCTATTTATTTCTAGAATTGAACAGGAACTAGAGTCCATTTCATGCCAAGTAAAACATGCTCAAAAGTCCTACTGTTCTTGGGCAAGAGTTGATTTATCTCTTTCTCATTTCCAATCTTATACTATATGTATAGAGCAAAGTAGTCCATGTCAACATGACTCTCCTTTCTCCAAACCCCCTTTTCTACTTCCTTCTTAACTCTCTTTCCTTCCTTTATCCCCCTTTCCTAACCTTCCCATTAAGTCAAGTCACTAGGGGTTAAGCTTATCTTATTAGGCCACACATCATCCTTCCTCCTCAAGTATTCAAATCTTAAATCTCTCTCTCTCTCCCCAACACACACACACACACACACGCATGCATTCCCAATGGCCCAAATCAATTCCTCTCCTAAAATTTCTCCTAAACTATTTTCCTCACCTAAAACATCTCCTAGTCCATCTCACATACGAGTTTGGCTTTAGTTAGTGCAAAGCTCATTCAAACAGCCTTTACAGCCTTGCATTGGGAATGTCTCCATACTTATGTGCTTTATTTCATGGGGAGATATTCTCAATGCAAGGTTGCAGGAGACTGTTCGAACGGTGTGAGTACGGGCTTGCACTAACTAAAGCCAGGCTCCTCACATGCCCAATAAACCGTCTAATTCTAAAATCTCTTTCCCTCCCCCCCCCCTTCTCTCTCTCTATGCTATCTCTTTCTCTCTCCACCTTCCAAATTTATATATTTTATTTTTCAACAATGTATTAAAATATTATGTTTAAGTCAAGGCTTAAATATTGAAATTCGATGAATAAAAAATATCTAAAATACTATAGAAAATATAATATGACAAATAATAAAAGCACAATAATAAAATTTAATAATTAATTAGAAATCTTATTATAATTATAAATAATATCTTAATGTTGTCATTATAAAATCTCCTCCCCCCATGGGATGCTTTGGGCCCTACACATCACTATTTGTATTGATGCTGAAACTTGTTGAAAACTTAGAACAGATCTTGATTGATTAAGAAT